AAATTAATCTCGAACATTCCGCCCGCCATCAGCAACGTTGTTGATGATCCCTGATCTTAAGATGAGATTGGCAGGACGGAGAGCTTGATCACTGGTCGGATGAGTATGGCAGTGGCTGTCTTCAAAGTCACCACCCGCACGAGTCCATCCTTCCTAGGATGTAGGGCTGATATCCGGGCTAATTTGCATGGTGGTAGCCGCTCGTCTGTGATGAGCACCAATGATCCGATCTTGATCTCGTTGTTCCTGTGATGCCACTTTGAGATGGCTTGTTGTCGTTGTAGGTAATGCGATGACCATTGTGTCCAAAACTGTTGTGCCTTTTGCTGGATGAGTTGCTATCGTGAGAGTCTTGAGATTGCCAGGTCAGTGCGTGATGGCTCTGGTATGGTGGTCAGCGGACTTCCTACGAGGGAGTGGCCTGGCGTGAGTGCTGAGATGTCTTCTGAGTCGTCACTCAATGATTAGAGATGTCGCGAGTTGAGAATTGCCTCAATTTGAGTGAGCAATGTGGTGAGTTCCTCAAAGGTGAGTACGGCTTCTCCAATGGTGCGCCGTAGTTGGAATTTGATTGGTTTCACGACGGCCTCCCATTTTCCTCCCATGTGAGGTGTCGCTGGGGGATTGAATTCCCATCGGTTGTTATCTTGCGAGAGCAGGTGAGAAACTCGCTGATGTTCTTGAGTGCTCTGGATAAAGAGCCGTTTGAGAGCCGTATCTGCGCCGATGAAATTGGTGCCGCAGTCTGATTGTAAGGTGTGAGCGATGCCGCGTCTGGATGAGAAGCGTCGATAGGCGGCAATGAACCCTTCAGATGAGTAATCACTAACCGCCCCGAGGTGTACTGCTGAAGTTGAGAAGCAGACAAAAACGTAAGTCCAGTCCTTAGTGGTCGTGGCACCTCTTCCTTTCCATGTTTTGACGGTGAGTGGCCCTGCGTAGTCCACACCTGTATGAGTGAACGGTCGTGCCTGCGTAACCCGAGAGAGAGGTAGTTGGCCCATCAATTGATGAGCACGGATCCCCCTCAGCCGAGCACACGTGACAAACCGCAGAATGTGAGACTTGACAGGAGCCCTCCCGCCGAGAATCCAGTATTGTTGTCGGATGTGCGACAGCGTGAGCTGCGTGCCTCCATGTAGAGTCCGTTGATGAGCGTGAGCGATGATCAATGACGACAGCTGAGAGTGACGAGGCAATATTACAGGATGTGTCGCATCGAGTGAGAGAGCTGCGTGAGCGAGTCGTCCGCCGACGCGAATGACTCCTTGAGCGTCGATGTACGCAGTTGATCGGTTGAATGAGTGTGCCTTTACCAACGGTGAGTCTGCTTGTTGCGCCTTGAGCTCGTGAGAGAAGTGCGTTGCTTGAGCTGCCTGAATCCAGAAGAGCCTCGCTTTCTCCAAGGTCTCTGGAGAGATGTGTCTGACAGGCAATGAGTCGTAGACTTTCCTCAACCGTGAGACGAATCTGAAACAGAGAGCTGTAATCCTCAATAGTTTAGTGAGGCTTGAGTACCTGTAGTTGAGTTCCCATTGATGATCAGTCCTTGGCGTAACCGTCAATAGCGAAACGCCTGGGCGAGCTTCTGTTGCACTCAATTCTTCAGAGAGTGCAGGTTGCGACGGCCATGAGTCTGGGTTGAGTATCCATGGTGGTCCCGTCCACCTAAGTGATTGGTTTTGAAGTTGAGCAGTCGTGAGGCCTCGTGATGCGCCACCAGCCGGATTGGAAGTTCCAGGTATGTATCTCCAGTGAGCAGCTGGAGTGAGTCCTTCAATTTGAGCCACCCTGTATCTGACAAAATCCTTCCAGCGTGATGTGTGAGATCTGATCCATGAAAGTGTCACTAGAGATTCCATCCACATGTGAGTTGCCGTTACGTCCATGTTCAAAGTGGCTTTGACGTATTGCATGAGTCGAGAGAGCAGTAGAGCAGCCGTGAGTTCAAGTCGCGGGATTGAGAGCTGCTTGAGAGGTGCTACCTTAGTCTTGGAGCACACAAGTGAGAACGTGGCGCCGTTTGAGTCGTGAACGGATATGTATATAACTGCAGCCATTGCCAATTGAGAAGCATCAGAGAATCCATGAAGTTCCACTTGCGAGTCGCTCCACGTGTTGAGCCACCGTGGTATTGAGAGCTTGGTCAAGCTTGTGAGTTCTTCTCTGATAATGAGCCACCGGGCTGAGAGCTGGGATGGCAGTGGATCATCCCATTGGAGCTTGTGCAGCCACAGCTCCTGCAAGAGAATTTTGGCCTTGATCACGACAGGTGATGCAAAACCAAGTGGATCGAGTATCTGAGCTACTTCAGATAAGACGAGGTGTTTTGTGAGTCTGCCTTCCGAGCGTGAGCTTCGGGTTGAGAATGCAAAGGTATCTTCTTGAGGGAGCCATTTGAGTCCGAGTATCTTGGTTGCGCAATCGTCGAAGGTGATTTGTGAGCCTTGGTCTTCGCTGTCGGTGACAGTCTTGAGTATGTCGAGATGAGTTGCATGCCCTTTTGCTAGTGGGAAGCCGCCCGCCATGCAGAGGCCCTTTAGTTGATGTGCGACCTCCTGCAATTGTTGTATTGTATCTGCACCACCAAATATATCAGTGACATACCTGCCGTGAGTGATAACTGGCACAGCCAGTGGGAAACTATGTCCTTCGTCTTCTGTTAATTGTAACAAGGTCCGTACGGCTGAGAATGGTGCGACCTTCGTCCCGTAAGTGACCGTTGTTGAATGATATGGCACCTCATTGAGCTGATTGTCCATCCAGAGTATCCGCTGTAACTCCCAGTCATCCTTGTGAATCTGAATCGGTCTGTCCATTTTGGTGATGTCCGTAGCGAAAATGTGACTATGTCTACGTATCCCAGGTAGAACATCTGAGATGTTCAGAGGTAGCTTTGCTCCAGTGTACATGAGGTAGTTGACCGAGTAGCCTGATGTGGATGCGCTAGAGCCATTAAAAACTACCCGCAGTTTCGTTGCAATACTGTCCGGATTGAGAACACCGTGATGTGTCAGGTGAAAATGTGAGCGATGACTGGAGATGGATGATGCCTTCGTCATGTGGTTGAGTGTCTCGTAATCAATCATGAATTGTTGATAGAGATGTTGATAATTCTCATTCCTTGAGAATCGTCTGCGTAATCCCTTCAGACATTGATGAGCGGCGTTGTAAGAATCACCCAAAAGATCGTTTGGTGAATTGAGTAGAATCCTGACGATGTACCTCTCTGAAGAATCATGAGAGTGTGTAGTCTTGAAGTGCTTCTCGCACCTCTGCTCGTTGGGAGTGAGCTGAGTGACATCGTGAGTAGGCACCTCCTCTTGATTCCAAAATTTCGTCAATAACTCGTTGAGAGCATCCTCATTGATTTGAGTAGAGGCATGGTGCGTTGATGTGCGTGTTGCTTCTCTATTGACTGGTCCAAGAACGAGCCATCCGAAAATGGAGAGTTGCGCTATCGGCATGAGTGGAGAATGCCGAATGATATTGGGCTTGATGATTTGCCCGTAAGCATCTGCGCCGATGAGGATGTCAACTGGCCGCGGGATGAGAAGGCCTGGATCGGCTAGTGCCAAGGTCCTGAGATGCGGCCATTCTTCCGGTTCCGCCTCGAGCGATGGTAAGATTGATGTAACTGTCCGGAGGACATGAGCTTGAATTGTGACAGCTGCGTTGGAATGTGTCGAGTGTAACGTGAGTGATACGACTCCTCGTGTCCGAGTACACTCCTTGCCTGCAATTCCAGTGACGACAATACCTGAGTATTGATGAGGGATGTTGAGCTGCCGAATGAGATTCTCCGTGACGAAGGTGAGTTCAGATCCTGCGTCAATGAGTAGACGCGCTGAGCGATGAGTGGTGGATGAGCTGCCACGGCTGTGGCGAGTAGAGTTGAGCAGGATGAGCGGACGTGTGAGCTGGTCTCGACGACTGCACCGTCTCTTCAATTTGCGGTCGTGACCAACGAACCACAGGTTGATTGAGCGGACGAAGCTGTCAGTGAGTGGCGGAGTACGCCGATGATGCGTCGCGCTTGCATGTGGCACAGCGTTTTCTCCTGATGAGCGTTCCCCGAGAAATGCTCGTGATGAGTGAGCGCAAAGGGCCATAAGACCTCGAAGTAGGTGTGTTCCTTGAGAAACGCCTTGTGCGTCTCCTCAATTTGAAGCCAGAGCTGATTTACCTCTTCAACAGAAGTCTCTGCAGGAGACTCCGGGAGAATTTCTGCGATGGCCTTGAGAGTAGAGATCCGACCCAGCTGCGTCTGCACCTTCAGGGCGAGTTCCGTGGAGAGCCGAACCGGAGACGCCGTCCTCGAGGATGAGCGATCTCCCGGCCGCAGTTCCAGTTGCTGAGTCACCGGGCGGTCCGCCTTGCCCGTTTTATGATCGTCCGACATGGTGAGATGACACGTGAGAAAGCCGTGGTATCACATGATCGATGAATGTCACTGTGTATATGAGTGCCGAGTGGAGATAATAAAGTCTCTCCACGTTTGTGAGCTGCTCGTTCGAGATGATCACACTTGAGAAGAGATCTCGAAAGGCAGGCCATGCGGCATACTCCCCGGTGAACTTGGGGAATGAGATGTCCGGCCAGCTTGAGTGTATCTGTCAGGTCTCGCCGGCCGATGAGAGTTGTCACGCGAGAGGATCGTGAGATCACGTGATCAATGAGTGGGACCGTATCTTTGCGCGCCGCCGATCACGTGATCGCTTGAGCTAATCGGTTGAGCTAATCCGTCCGAGAGCCTCGCCGCAATCCGGCTCGAAGGACCAAAAAAT